ATATAGCAGGCTATAGCTGCTAGTTGACCAATGTTGATCCGTGAGGATTATGCGAGGACTTCCTGGTTTTACTTTGTATTGGGCTTGCTCCCCCTGACATTAGCCCCTATAGCTGCCTTGATTGATAGCTCGGAGGCTATTCAGTTGTTTCAGACAGAAATGCCAACTCCGCGCACTTCCTGACTAGTGACACATTCGATTTGTCTTTAAACGCGAACGCATATCAGGAAACGAAACAAGATTATTTGTGCTGTGCTGCGGAAAATCATACAAGTGAGAAAACATTATTTTTAGATAAGACTGTTTCCTAAGTCTTTAATGAGAACATACAAATCCGTCTGCCCTGTGTCAGAATATCAACACGCATGGTTCATATTCCTCACTATCACGGGCACTGTTCACTTGACTGTCTATAGCTCAGCCATTGGCTTTCAGCATTGCTAACCCAATATCTCATTATCACGTTAAAAATGCTGATTGTGAGCTGGGTGGTGGTGGTGCACACTTTTAATCCCTGAACTCGGGAGGCAGAGGCAGGTAGATCTTGGTGAGTTCGAGGCCAGCCTGGTCTAAAAGTGCTAGTTCCAGGACAGGCTCCAAACCCTGTCTCGAAAACAAAACAAAACAAATAAACAAAACAAAACAAAACAAAACAAAAATGCTGGTTGTGTAGGATGCACCTTTTGTCCCAGAATTGGGAGGCAGAGGCAAGCCCATCTCTGTGAGTTCAAGGCCAGCTTGGTGTACACAGTGAGTTTCAGGATAGCCAGGGCTATGTAGAGAGGCCCCGTCTCAAAAACCTACAAGAAGAGGTTGTGAGCATTTCTTTTGTCTAGAAGGAGAAATAGGTAAGAAAATCCTTCAGGAATGTGCTAAGCAAGAAGAGAGGCTCAAAGCAGAATCAGAGAGCCCGTGAGTGGCACAGCGGAGCGGCTCTTGTTCAGGGCTGTCTCCGTATCAGCCTCTTCCTAGGAACGCTGTGCCAGCACTGCCAGCCTCTCTCAGTTGCCAAGGTAACCTGTTTCCTCTTGTGCTTCAGCGAGGATGCTCTTACGACGGTCAGACCACACTTGATGAACTGCTATTGTAGAGATGCACCGCTAGATAGGCTTTTAGAGAGGGACCCGTTCCCTATCCTCAGGTGTTGGAAGACTTACTGTGTCTTTTTAAAGGTTTATTTTAATAAGCACAGGTGTTTTGCCTGCATGTTTGCACACCACGTTAATGCAGTGCCCCTGGAGGCCAGGAGAGGGCGTCTAATCCCCTGCGACTGGGGCTATAAATGGTTGTGCGTTGCTACGTGGATGGTGAGAATCTAGGTCCTCTGGAAGAGAGACCGGTATTATTAACCACTGAGGCATTTCTCCAGCCCCAGAATTACTTTGACTTTTGAGTGATGTCATTAATTTAAAGGGCTATTTGACCATCTAGACTCAATCGTATCTTAGAATTAAGCCTTGGAATCCGTGTTACACATTTTATAAAAGCTTTCTCTAAAGATCTGTATTTCTAAGTTTATTTTTATTGATGTTGTTGAGGAAAATATATTTATGACAGGTAATGTTTACAAATTAAAATTACTCAGTTCCCACAGAACTAAGGCAAAAGAACCATACATTAATGACTGGTAACAAAATCTAGTTTCTATAAAACAAAAATATGCAAATGGCAAACCTAAGATGCCTTGTTGTTCAGCTACCAAACTAATAAGGTCAACTCCTGGTTTGGAGAATCTTCTCAGAAGTGACCCTTAAGAGGCACACATAAGAAATGATGCATCAAAAATGGACAGAGGTGGCGCACGCCTTTAATCCCAGCACTTGGGAAGCAGAGGCAGGCGGATCTCTGGGAGTTCAAGGCCAACCTGGCAGTTCCAGGATGCCAGGGCTACACAGAGAAACTGTCTTGAAAAACCAAAATAGATAGATAGATAGATAGATAGATAGATAGGGGAAGAAAGAAATGGTATGCCTTAGTCCCAAATTCAAGCATATACTACTTTCTTAGGACTATTTTTCTTAATATTTTATTATTTATTTCTTTTTTATGTGTGTCGTTAACTGATGTGTTCCTATGGGTGGAAATACATGTACCTGCAGGTATATGGAAACCAGAGGTTGGCATCCGGGGGCTTCCCTGATAGCTCTATGAGACAGTCTCTGAGCCTGTAGCTCAGTTCTGCCTGGCTGGCTGGTCACTGAGCACTGGGGAGTCCTGTTGCCTTTGTCCCCACACCGACGCACAGTGCTGGGGCTACGCACATACAATGCTGCTTTCAGCTTGTCTGCTGAACTACGGTCCTTGTGTTTACACAGTGACCCTGAGAATTCTGCAGAGTTATCGATCTTGAGCCGGCTTTAGAAAACGGTGTGTTATCAGGGACTTGCATGCCACAGCTCACCTCTGCATCCGGCGGGGTAAATTTTATGGGATGGGGAAAACTGACCTCGCATGAACTGTCTGACCTTCCCTTCTCCTCTAGACAGCTGCAGCGACAAACAAGCCACTAGACAGCTCTGACCAATGGAACAGCCTTTGCATATCTGCTTTCCAGCTAACACACTGGCACGTTGGAACTGACAAAGGGGCCATGAAGGACTGCCAGGCCAAGCCTGCTTTTCTTCCTCCTTGGTAGTTAGCCTGTGTGGCTGCCTTCCCAGGATCTGTGGGACAGAAGAGGTTGTTTCCAGTACACACACACACAGACACACACACACACACACACACACACACACACTCCGGTTAGGGTGCTCTAATAAAGAAAAGAAATACTATTTGTGGGTTCTGAGCTAACCAATGGAAAAGTGTCTTCAGAGTAAGTACAGCAGACACTGGACTCCACTGGCTTGGTGGCCTTTCAGCCCGTTTTCACAGAACTGCAGAAATCTCTTAAGATTTCTGACTTACACTTGCTGAAACCCTTAATTCTTATCTCAAACTCAGATCCTAAGAAAGGAGCAAAGAACAGATTACAAGCTATAGTGTCTACAAACTGAACAAGCGTCATTCAACAAATGAATCACATTCAACAACACACAAATGAGGACTGGCCACATGCCAAGTTCAAGGTCTCCAGCTAGGTCCTCTCACACCTGTTACACAGTGAAAAATCCGACTCTCTACTTCCTGCCAAAGACTTGGAAACCTAAATAAAGGAAACATGGTGCTGTCTTTACAGAAAGCAGTCAAACTGAGATAAAGAGGCTACGATTTAGACCAACAAGGAGTCAGATGACTCCAGCTCATGGCTCAAATTATACAGCGCTCTCGCTTTTGTATGGCCCGTGGATGGAGAGCAGTTAACATTTTTAAATAAAGAAGGCGAGGAAGAGGAGAGGGAAGGAGGAACAAAAGAAAAGGAAGGAAAGGAAGAACATTTCCTAATACACGAGGATTTATGTAATATTCAAACCTCGTTTTCCTCAATCAACTTTTACTGAAACACAGCCATGTTTCTTAGTTTTCCTACCACATGAGGCTCCCTTGACATTTGGAAAAGGCGCAGTCCCTGCAGTGGAGACCGTGTGACCTGGGGGAGCCAGATACGTGACCTTTACAGAAAAAGTGTGCCAACTATCATTTCAGATTTTAAAGTATTTCTTTCTGTTCAGCTGAGATAGTTGACTGAGAACACACACCTCAGGTTTGGTTAGGGTACATTCATAGATTTAAAAACCTTTAAACATAGTAAGATGCATGCACTCCACTGGGAAGAAATATGGTGTGTTTGTGCGTGAGTAGGAACACCCTCCTGCACAGAAGAGTGTAGGGAGCAGAAGCTGACTGGGTGCCTTCTTTATCCACTGCCCTTACTTCTTTTCAAGACAGGGTCTCTCACTGAACCTGGAGCTCACCAGGCTGGCTGACAGGCAAGTCCTAGGGATCCTCTTGTCTCCGCCCCTTTCTGCCCCAGCTCTGGCGGTACGGACACGCAGTTGGTACTGTGCTTTTTAAAAGGATGCTGGGACTTTGAACTCAAGTCCCATGCTTGCACAGTAAATGCTTTTATCGCCTGCACCATTTCCCCAGATCGGATGTCTATTTCTTGTGGATGTTAACTTTCTACCTTTATCCTGTTAGGTCAGAACACTGTGCCTTTTTCTTTTCTTCTTTCCTTTTCCACTGGCTGGGGGTGGGGGGGGGGGTGGGGGCTGTAACTGTCCTCATGCGTGTCAGACATATAAGCGTCACATCTTGGATCCACACAACTTGATGATTTGTCTTTTTGGCCATATAGGCATTTCTTTTACAGACAAACCTTGATCCTGGAGAATGGGCTATCCTGAGCTTTTCCCAATAGACGTTGATCAAACAAAATCCTGGAAAATGTCTGTCTGTGAATAGTTAGTTCTGCCGAGGGCTAGCTACAATCCCCTGTGCTGTGAGGGCTCCATGTAGATCACGAGAGACCAGGGACAATGTCAGCCGTTCTGCCTGCGTACGCCTTAATGAAGGAATGGGGGGATTCACGCTAACAGCTCCACAGGACTGCTCGAGCTGTCCTCAGTGGGTAAGCCTGTTTCCCCCCTCAACACAGATAGTATCTTTCCATGGAAGGCAGACAGGGGTGGTGTTTGTATGCTATAGTTCGCGCAAACACATCTCCCCATATGATTTTAATTTCTCCCTTGAAAGTCACAGACTAAAGTGAGAGGAAAAAAGATGTGAGTCTATATTAGAACTGTCTGGTTATAAGCACCCAAGTTCACCCCCAAGGAGTGATTTCCGGCTCCCCAGAGACACACGAGAACAATGGCTGTGGTGAGACACTGGGTTCTAAGTTCAGCTTTTCAGTAACTCAAAGGAGGTTCATTTGGTAAGAATACTGCCCTCACTACCACTGTGTGTCCCCTGCCAGGCTGCCTGTTGACAGGACAGCAGTCGGATCTCACCAATTAATACACCATCCTCGTACCAGGTACATTCAAGGTAGTTTCTTTAAATAAAAAGGCAACAAATATATTTTTAAGCCAATAAGAGAACAACCCCTGGGGACTCACCTAGAGAAATCGCCTTTTGCTTCCTGTGGAAGAAAAAAAAAAGAGTGAAACACAGATTGATCATTAAGAGTGAAAACTTATGTCCTATGATCACAGCTACTTCCCTGCTGAGTAAGAACAGCTTCCTACTGTGGCCACCCTGCTCCCTCTGGAATTCAATGACAGGGAAGCTAAGCCAGTAGTGGGAGAACATTCCCATAACTGTAATTCCAGCACTTGGGATGCTTAGGCAGGAGGATCCTGAGTTTGAAGTTAGCCCTGGTTGCATAGTGAGACCCTGTCTGATGGGCCAGAGTCAGGGAGAATATGTACATGCGTCACGTGACTAAGAGACACAATGCAAACTCTACAAAGTTATTTGTAAGTTTATATTTCATGGCCCTGCTCTAACTAAATTAGGATTAAGACTTCTAAACTGAGCATATATCTGAATAAAATTTTTTCTTTCTCTCTCCTTCCCTCTTTCCCTTTCCTTCCCTCTATCCCTTTCTCCCCCTCTCCCTTTCTCTCCTTTCCTCATACATACACATTTACCTCTCTCCCCCTTTCTTTCCCTCCTCCCTCACCCTCTTTTGCCACTCCCTCTCTTCAGTTCCCCCTCCCTCTTTTAAAACATCCCCTGTCTCTTTCCTCCCCTTCTGCTCCAGGCCCTTTCATCCTCCCTTCCTTTTCCTTGAGACAGCTGCAGTCTGCCCTCCTGGCCCAACCTCCAAACCAGCTGGGCTTACAAGTGCACGCCACTGTGCTGGGCTAGGACAGTCTACTTCTCCTGTCTCCTTTGAATGTGAGCTCTTTCCTAACAGCACAAAAGGACTGCAAGTCAGAGGCCATGTGAACAATTGGTTTTTCTCAGGGCAAAAGAGGGTACCAAACTTAAAGTGGGGACTGGAGAATCAAATGATTGCAGATTAAACACGTAACTGTCCCCAAGGTCGCATGATATAGTCTTAAAATTCTGAAATAGTGCAAACATCTAATTATGGTCATGGCATCAGCCTTCCTAATACCTCCGTCACCTGTGCCTAGAAAATGTCAGAAAGCCAAGCAGGGGATGTGGCTGCTGTGTGGGCCCAGCAGCTGCACTGCCTTTGGGTGTACGTGAAGCAACTCACCTGTAAAATATAGGAAGCCAATTCAAACACCACTTCACTATCAACATCAATTAGCTCCTGAAAGGGAAAAAAACCAAGGTGAGTCTTTTGTTTTATCTACTTAGGTTTGAACAATTAATTAATTAAAATCTTTAAAAAATACAGATCTTTTAGTACAGTCCAGGCTGGCCTCAAACTCACAACCTTGCTGTGTCTACCTCCCAAGTGCACAGGTTCTAGACACGTGTCACTGAACTCTATAATTTGACACTAAACAGCTTCCGTACAGCAGCTCCCATGGAAGGGGACCTGGTCTTTCTTGGGAGTTCCCCAGAGTCTGAAAACTTTTAGAGTGTCTTTGGTGCTTTACACAGTTCCTCCAAGTGACTACATCCTCAACACGCCCCAAGATCTTTTCAAGGAAGCCTATGTGTCATCTTCAAATCTGGATGAGGTAGTCGGGATGGACCATGCCCAGCTTTGCAGACACCAGCTCATCTTTATCTTATTTTACTTCATGTACACATATGGGTGTTTTACCTGCATGTGTACCACATGCATGCAGAAGGTGTGTGTGTGTGTGTGTGTGTGTGTGTGTGTATGTAAGGGGAAAAGGGGGAGTAGGGAGAGAGGGAGGAAGGGAGAAGGGAAGGATAGTGGGAGAGTAGCCACTACTCCTAGCCACTGCACCATCTCCTGTCACAAACCTGCTCATCTTATTCGTCACAGGAATACAGTTGCTCAGTAGCCAAAATTACACTTTGAACTTCTCTCTGAGATAGGGTCTCATGTGTAGCCCTGTGTGGCCCAGAGCTCAGACCTGCCTCTTCCTCCTAAGCGCTGTGACTCAAGGGTTCACAACCATGTCCAGCCCCATTACAGTTTCTTTTCAGTTTCTGCCTTAGCACTGGAAGTGAGGCTTCACTGAAAGAAACATTACAAAGGGATCATAACTCGGCTGGGAGTCAAACAAGGCAAGACTAAAAGTGCAGCTCTTCAGGGGTACCCAGCATGCTCTCTCAGGTGCTCAGAGTGGCTAGTGGCTGTCACGTTAATATAGATCTGTAACTTTTTTAAAAACAGATTTATTTATTATGCATACAATGTTCTGTCTGCTTGTACGCCTACAGGTCAGGAGAGGGTGCCAGATCTTACTACAGATGGTTGTTAACCACCATGTGGTTGCTGGGAACTGAACTTGGGACCCCTGGAAGAACAAGCGATGCTCTTAACCACTGAGCCATCTCTCCAGCCTGACCTATAACGTTTCTATCTTAATGAAGGTTCTATCAATCATTGCTAGTCCAGTGTTTAATTTAAATATTCTTCTGTTCTTTGAGGTCTTCATCAAATGGTTGCAATCTAGAAGCGTGGCCTTAAAAAAATAAAAAACTTCTTTGTTTTTGAAAAACAAAATCCAATGTATGTTTTTTAACAAAACACAGACATAATTAGACTCTACGTAGGAGCATTCCCATCAATGCCAGCTGTGTTCACTTCAGTGGTCCAAGATGACATCATCTAGTGATGTCACAGTCACTGTAGTTTGTATAAATGTACTTGATGCCCGCACAACAATAAAACTACTTCCCACATCTATCAGAGTCCTCCCTGCCATGAAGCGACATGGGCCTGAGTTCCTATGTCTGTAGTAACAGCTTCACCAAGGCACTATTTCAAACATGTGCACAAGTCTGTGCATTTATCATATCAACTTGACGGCTTTGGAGGCAGGCCCACCCACTGAAACACCATCACCACAATACATCTGCCCATTATTCCCCAAAATATCTATTTTTATGATAAACACTTGACATGACCCTTCCTCTTAATGTATTTATAAGTGAAGGATGCCATATTATATGTAACCTGTTAGAGACAAACTTGGATCCATTAGCATGCAACAAGAGGTTAACTGGTGTTGTTTTTCTATAGAGGAGAAATTCCTATCTTCATCTTTCCTCTCTCATCACTTCTTTCTCCTTTTCTTATTTCAAATAGGGTCTCACTTGATAGCTCTGGCTCACTTTAAACTGATGGGCATCCTCCTGCCTCAGCCTTTCAAGTGCTGTGATTAAGGCATGAGCCACCATGCCTAGCATATCTTCATTTTTCATTCCATATCGTCACTAGATCTGAGAGTGAGGGTCCAGACAAGAGGAAAAGCTAGGAGAGACCTAGAAACCAGTTAGCTCGGCACCATGCTTTTGACTGAGGACGGGAATCCAAAAATATGACGCGGCTTGCCTCAAGTCACGAGGACCATACTGGCTGTCTGTCATTGTACTGGGAACCACAACTTCTCTAATATATGACCTCACTTAGGACACGCCCCCTCCTAAGTTAAGAAGGTCTTAGTTCCAGCCAGCACACTCTTGGAACAATATTTATGACTGAAGTTAGCACGAAAAAGTGATTTAAATTAAGAGCTATTTGAACTACCAGCCAAACTCTGAAATATATGGATTTTTTAAAAAAATTAGTTGGGGGGCATCCAAAATTACCCACCGTAATTCATGACAATATATTTGAGCAGTATTGAACCTTTTGAAGAAGGGATTTACTCATGGTCTCTCAGGCCAAGGAATTCCAAAAATAGATCAAGGTAGTTGCTACTGAGCCTTCTCAGAATTGTAGCTCAAGAGACGTGACAACGTCTAACCACCATATGGAAGAATGGGGGACAGTCGTTCTTTATGCTCCACCCGCCACGGGAGCTTAAGGGCCTCCATAATTCATCGGCCCTGTCAGAGCTGGGATGTGGGAGAATGTTTGCAATGGCAGTTGTGGGATTACTAGCTCCCATCAAAATGTAAGTCATACAACAGTGCGCAAACGCTTCCACAGAAACTGTCCCGTCTCCACCATAGATCATTTCTGCTCTCTCTTTATTCATTTCTTTTCCCACTAATCAGCTCGCTAAAGAGAGCGCAGTACTTGAGACCATATTGCTGTGTGTGTGTTTGCATGTGTGAGCCCTTCTGTTAAACATTTACACCTACGAAGCCGCGAATGGACAACAGTGGGCTAATGGCTAACACCATCTGGGAGGCTTATCTCATGTGTAACTCAGAATCAACCGCTGGCAGACAGCCCTGTGCAGGAGCATACGTGTGACTGATAATCTGAGTCTTTTGTGAGATCGAAGTGTCTGTGTTGGGAAGCCGAGGTCTGGGAAAGGAAGGAAGGGCCTTTTCTTTCACACAACCTATTATGTGGTCCCAGGAGGTCCTATAGGAGAATATTAACCACGGTGCTAGACCGGCGACAGCGAAGCCTCCAACAACAGGGTCTTCAAAGCCTGGCTTGGCTTAGGTAAGTTCTCCTTCACTGTAGCTGTCCTCGGCGTGAATGGAAACAAATGTTTTTAACTAGGGCAAATTCAACTATTCCCTCCAGGTGAAGAGATGATAAAACACCCAGAGTTAGAATATGTCCAGCAATCGAGGAAAGGGAGGCAGGAGGAGATGCCTCCGAGCCTGCACAGGCTGTGTTGTTACTTTGTGGGATTCCTAGTTAATATTTATTGAATTTAACAATCCCTGGATGTCCCCAGAGGAGTCAGTCAAGAGAGTGTATATGAGAACCGAACTTGAACGGTGGGAACACAAGTTCTCGATCGTTGAGAAAAGCTTTGCCTATTCCCTCAGCCCCCTCTCTGCAAAGCTCTTTCTCTACCTTTTGTTTTAATATCCTTGTTATTTTTTTTTTTACCACAATTAACAATCTCCTTTGCATTTCTTTCTCCTAGGGGATTACATCTCTAAGATTTTTCTGTAGAAACAAAACCTTTGATTTTCTGTTCACTTCCCGAGTTTTCCATGAAAACCGAGTTTGCTATAGAGGAGTTAGCAGGGGTCCCAGAGATCCTACCCTCAGGTCCCTGCTGCCACGCGACATCAAATATGACTCTACCTTTCCCTCGGCTGGCTTCCCCAGTGAGCCAGAGGTGGCCCGCTTCATGTGCTTCTCCAGCAGAGGAAACAGACTGACTGACCAGGAGAACAAACAGTGTACAACCCCACAGTTTCCTGGAGCTCCGGGCTTGCCCTTGACAGGCAAAATCGGGATGTGTGAGGCGAGGCAGGAGGCTCTTTAAGAGAGATTTGAATGGCTTCCACCTGGCCATCTGCAAAGGCTGGCCCTGTGACATTCCCACAGACTTATTCCATCCATAGCTCTGTGCTGGAGTCCCAGGGCTTCCAGAGCCATCTGAGGAGGGGGTTCTGCTGGGTCATTTCCTGGGAACCTAGGGTGGTGGAGGACACGTGGGTGATTTTACATCGAGGGGGAATGCCGCCTCTTTTGGCTACTGGGACCATGATGTATGTATTATGAGGCCCTGTTTCTCTTACTACTGAATGATTGGTGTCCTTTTTTTGGCTCCTTGGAAAATGGTATTGAATGATAGAATGTGGTTGTCTGCTGCTGTGTGCAGGCATGCATGTGTATATTCCCAGAGTGTAGATGGAGACGGAGCATTTTCCGTTGTTCTGCATTGCTTTATCTGAAGTGACAATGAGGATTGCTGGCATTCATGAGCAGCTTCATGGTGACTATCAACTATCTAGGGAAGATTTCCAACAGAGGATCGTGACATGTTCCAAACAAATACCCCCATGCAACGGGGCTTATGGGTACTTTCCCATCATGCTTAGTCAGTTCTTCCTGACCCATGGTTCAGAAGGGTTTGCTGGTACTATTCACATCATACTGAGAATCTCAACGGAAAGCATTCCTCTGTGGTTGGGATGAGAAAGCCCAACTTTTCCATATAACAAGTGAGATGATTGCAATAGCTAATGTTGAGTGTCCTCTAACAGTGCACACCAGCCCTGGAGACAGGCCTCCGCTAGGCATGTCTGTGAGGGATTAGCTTGACTACATTAACTGAGACTGGAAGGTCAGCTCTGTTGGTGGCACCTTCCCATGGCTGGTATCCTGGGCTGGATGCACGGAGAAAGGGAGCCAAGGGGCAGCATCCATCCCTCTGTTTCTTGACTATGGATGTGATATGATCAACTCTATCCAGGTTTGGCCAGTTAGACTTCCCAATGATGGACCAAACCTTTGAACCC